CTGAGCTGTATTCACAAAATCTATGATCCCAATTTTAACTCAATACATACTATATCATCATCACCATCCACCCCTCTTCCATAAATTGGCAACGTGACATCACTGCCAGGACGGTAGCATGACAGCGACCTAGTTTTCTTTATCATATCCACGGGACTTGTCATCAATTCGCCTACTGACGGGCGTAGTGTATCCTAATGTTTCTAAATTAAGCTCAAAGAGGCCTTCCATGTGAAAGAAAGACTCGGCACCCAACCTTGAACACTTCTTACAGCCACGTTACGTTATCTATGTTATCAGGGCTTTCCAAAAGCTGACGACAAATTCGCCTAGGCTAGATGCATATTGATGGTGGAAGCTCCTTCATTGGTCAGTCATATTATAAGATCTATGCAACCCCTTTCTCCCTGCATTATAATGATGGGATCCCTTTGCGTATGTCAAATTTGACCAACTACCAGGAGTTCTATGCATTATTATTTACTTCTAGAAGATATTGTCCGGAAATTATGTAGCTACGAATTAAGCGACGCGGAAAAGTCGACATTGTTCTAGGCCCCATGACACTGACTTACCTTAGGTTACATGTCTTTCGGGACATCTACTAGGTAGTCTCAAGACAATATGGAATGTTGATATCTCTTCCTACTTACCTAACTAACACATTGCTTTCAAACGAGGATGGATTAGTATAGCTTCCTACCGACTAGGTTTTAGCTGAATATCAACCATGCCCGTTTCTTCACGTGGCCACGGAAGGTTTATTTAAATCCCCTGAACATCATAGACTTTGAATGAACCTTAATGATCAGAACTGCTCATGGGCATCTCATGGACATCCACCCCCGCGCAGGTCCCAACGTAGCGCACGTGCGCCTACTCCTGGAGGATCTTCCCCATATTGTCTTAGCCACGATCCAATCAGGGAATGTAGTCTTTTAACTTCAAGTCGCGTCCATACTTGCACGTCATGTTTTAGAACAGCCAGCCATAGGATCGTGGCATCTCCTTCCAACCGGGCTCTTTTCCAAACTTCGACATATCTAGTATCCGGCTCGCTAGTCGGCTCCTACATACCGTACCTAGTACGTCATTTATGTTTTTACAAGAAACAGCGCCATTGACCTCTGACATGCCTATCAATCGCTGGCCTAATTCAAGCATGACTGTTATTGAGGAATAAAAAGACGACAATTAGTGGGTTTATATAAGCGAGACCTATCCAAGGTTATGATCCTATATAATCTACAGCCCTAATAAGAAGCTACGAGGCTCTCTGTATAAATTCAGGAGTTCCCTCATAGTAGAGGTAGACAATTCAATGGAAGTATTCTAGAAACTCGGGTTATCAGTAAAAAGGGGAAGTTAACTTCCACAACCTCTTACTTAATTAAGTCTTATTATCGAGTTAATTTATAGGATAATAGATTTATAGTCGTAGACTAGTTAGCCGAAACGGGAACATTGGAAATTGCTGTTGGTCTTTGGTTTTATGTTGAACATTGAAACTTTGCTATTGTGAGTAGTGAGGTTAATTTCATATACGCAGACAGTGACCGAGCTACTCAACTGGACCTTTTCGTACTAATACTGTTGTGTTGAGAGACTTGTAAAGACTGAGTTTTATGTTCCAGGGAACGGTGTTGGCCGGCTCATCGGCTCTGGTGGGAGGTCTCTTTTTCTTCTCTCGGGATCGGGATGCTCGCGGGATGCCAAAGGGACCAGACGATAGATAGGCATAACACCTCACTTAGCGAAAGTTAACGCTCCTGGTCCAATAACACAGTTACTTCCGAGATTCTCTGTTTATAGCGTGACGGAGCCTCTATAGAGAGCGGGTAAACATCTCTGGAACGTACAAGCAACTGAGATTGAAGCGCCCGGCGTAACAAAACCGTTTCCCTTGTGTCCCTAGATTTTGATCGTGGCATCGATCATTCTCTCAATATTGCCATCAGTACAAACTTCGACCGTCATAGCTATTAAATTAAGCGAAAAGAATACTACCATATCGACACGTTAGCATATGTTTATACCGCGACCCCTGAAGCACTAGTGAATATTAGAATCCGACTCCGAGACGGTTTGGACACGGACATAGTCGGCTAACCCGCCGACGGAATGCCACGGAGTTCCACGAAATGCTCCGCGCTATAATACCAAAAGAAACCAATACATATAATATATTATATTGTACTACATAGTAGTCTACGACTTGCTTAAGCTCGATACCAAAGAAACGAAATGCTATCTCAAGTCAACGAACTAAGACTTTATTAGTAAATAATACGAACAGTTTCTATCGAATCCACGAAATAGAATGGGTTATCCCATTGTTTCTTATGTTAAGTAGGGGCTGCCGAGGTTATAGCCACATTCGGACAAACGAGACATGACTTGGCTTTAGGGGGGAGTCATGACACTGCTTGACTGGATTAGGCATTGTATTAAGAGAACAAGCTGCTTCGTAAACAAGACGACTATTGAGTCGAAATCGGATGTTATTTTGCGACATCTGTATTAATAAGTGTTCTGTGCCGGTTTATATCAGCATGGGATTACGATTTAACGATGCTATCACTTGTGTTATCTCTGATGAGTCTCGTCAGCTACAGGTAGGTATCCAAGGATGGGTCATTTCGACTAGGGTAGACCATTATACCATTTGAGTATAGACGCGGCCGTTAATTCTTCCGCTCATCACTAATCCACATGTATTACCAACATTTCTACGCCGTGAGAGTCATTTTCAAACCTTTCAAGCGCCTTCGCGGCGCAATCTAAGAGATCGTGAGAATCATCATCTGGATTCGGTAGCTAACTGCGACTTACCAGTTGCTACATGGAATATGGAGCTCGTATGAAAGCCCACTAGGCGGGGGGAATGGTAGCGGGCCAACTTTATACCGTGTATATTTGAGTTGCGAATTTGCATGTTGGTACCGTACTTGTTGACCCGATCATATCATGATCCAGGTTCTTAAACCATTAATTGCAACGTCAGCAAGTCGGTGCGGCTGGTTGCTGTGCCGTGTGTATGGGCTCAGGTGGAGAAGCTCACATCGACCCGCCCCGAGATCATTCGGATGTGGCTCCGGGGTATGGACGTCTATATAAGACCGTTAGTAGAAATGGAATGGAACGATGGATTTTCTCAGTTTCCCAGCTTCCTCATATCACACATATATCGTACTATACTGTCTCTGAAGCATCTCTATCCAAAGCCCCTTTAAAATGGCTAATTTCTCTCACGAAGCTATCTTCGAGGCTGCCTGTCAGGCCGGCGAGATACCTGGCGCGGTCCTTGCCGCTGCGGATGCCTCGGGCAAGTTTACATACCAAAAAGCCTTTGGCAAGACTGCCCACGGAGAGCCGTACAAGCTAGATAGCGTCATGTGGATGGCTTCTTGCACTAAGCTCATGACAGCTGTCGCGGCATTACAGCAAGTCGAGCGTGGCAATATCAAACTGGATGACGATGTCGCAAAGTTTGTCCCCGAGCTTCTTAAACTACAGGTACTGAAAGATATGGACGGTGATAAGCCCGTGTATGAGGAGAGGCAGCGCACAATCACTTTGAGGTGAGTATATACCGAGGCCATTATACAGCGTTTCATTTTGGAAGAGTGGTGCTCATGCATTTCTGAAGGATCCTACTTACGCATACCTCCGGACTTACCATACCATTTTTCAATCCCACCCTCCAGAAATGGGAGAAAGCCACTGGTCCTCTCGCGAAAGACCCCAAGACCATTGTGGAGGAATTCTCGCTTCCCCTGGTTTTCCAGCCTGGGACAAGCTGGATGTACGGAACGAGCTACGACTGGGCAGGTAAACTTGTCGAACGATTGACCGGGGTCACTCTCCAGGAATACATGAAGGCCAACATCTGGGACCCGCTGGATATGCAGAACATGACCTTCGTGCCTGATTCGTACCCGGAGGTGAAAGCGCGCAAGGTGGGAATGACTATCAAGGACGAGAGCGGGAAGCTGGGGCCAACGACGCAGGGCTACCTTTTCATCACTGGAGAACAAAGAGACGACAACTACGGAGGTGCGGGATGCTGGGGTGCTGCGGAGAGCTATGTTAAGCTGCTACAGAGCTTGTGTGCGAATGATGGGAAGGTTCTGGGCAAGGAGACGGTGGAGGAGTTGTTCCGGCCGCAGCTGGACCCCGAGGTCATGAAGGACTTCAACGCCCTCATCCAGACCGACGATACGAGCCGGCGAGTATATTGCAACTCGTTTGATATGAGCCATCAAGTGATGGATCACGGACTCGGTGGAGCGATTAGCACTAGGGACGAGCCCGGTAGTAGGAAGGCCGGTACGATGTCTTGGGGCGGCTTGCCGAACCTGATCTGGTGGGTGGATAGAAAAGCCGGTCTTTGCGGCACACTCTTCACCAATCTTATTCCAGTGGGAGATCTGAAGATTGTCGAGCTGATGAGGGAGTTTGAGAAATCGCTTTACGAACAGTATGAGGAGTTTAAGAAGCAATAGTCTGTAGGCGACTAATGAGCTGATATGACGTGCGGTAATTATTGCGCACGAATGTATTTATTCCCTGATTCCAGAGAGGAGCCGTTGCATGGGGCAGCTCAGAACCATCCATATTCCACTGAAATATGGATGGCCTCTGCATCTGTGAGCCGATCGATTATTGCGAAGGCACTTGCTGGCCGATAATCGCTCGACGAATAACCCTTGAGATGCAACCATCCACGCGTGCCCGACGATCACTCAGTTCATTGACAGTCATAAGAGCATTGAGATTGGTAATAACTAGTGAGCTGGAATTGAATGACATTCTATTTATTGTAAGAATGAAACAATCCCAGGGGGGAAAACGTGCCGAGTAGGCCGGATGATACATCAGCTAAAGGCGTCACGATCATGTTTGGAAATTCTGTGAAAAAAGGGGAAGATCAAAGGTTATAAAAAATTTCGCCAAGGGGAAAAAAATTGTGGTACAAGAGGAATCTAACCTCTGAACGATGGACTCGCGGGGAATCGAACCCCGGACCACTCCCAAGCGGGTTATATCCTAAGAGTAACTGAATGGCTATCTTTTGATATAGATGATGCTAGACCATCAGGTGCTAAGGGAGTATTATACCACTAAACCACAAGCCCGTGTGTTGTGATCGAATGCGACTTAAAGCAATCTATAACCCATGATAGTTATAATCGACATGTGATTGGCCCGATGTCCTTAGCGCCCTGGCTTGTTTGCTTGATAACGTTGAAACGTTATTGAATCCGAGGCCTCGGGCGTTTTAGGGCCAACTTATTACTTGCCTAAGTAACACTCTAGAATTCTTTAGTAACCGCCAGAGGTTGGAATACTGATCTATATCATAATTAGTGGCAATGCTAGTTCGGTTAGTTGACGGACTAGGTGAAGATTACGCCTATGGTATGCCTCAGCCCTGATACATACATGTACTGAGGGGCTTGGGTATCTACGAACTGAATATAGATTCTTAGCTACCTATGTATTTTGAACGTTGATGTATATTATCCCGAGGTCGTGAACACTTCGGGAGCAAATTTTGTTTGTAGCAACTTGGAAGCGTCTATGACTCAAAGAAAAGACCGTTTCCGCTGGCCCAGGAGAAGATAATTTTGAGCGAGTGACGCGATGTCGAAGCTGATTTCACCACAAAAACTCCAAGTTGTTATGTTAAACATGTACGTACATCTCGTTTAGCTGGTGACGATACTGGAACGGTTTGTTGAAAGTTGACTACATATGAGGTACTATGCATAAGAATAATATTTAACTTTACCTCGTTGCTTTAGGTACCGAAACTAAACACCTCTAGTCGATGATCTCCAGATATGTGCATGTAGCGCAGGGACGTAGATACCTAACCCAGTAAGAGAACCTTGGCGACTCGACCAGGGCTCAAATAAGGACTCGAAGAGCTTGTCCTGGGCATCAACGGTCCCCATCCGTACCTACGCACATACATGCAATCATGATACATGATATATACGGTGGAATCGGTGGTGAGCTGTCTGTTCGTTGGGCTGCGACTTGAGAAAATTCTTCCGATGATAAATCAATGCTTTTGTTTTTAGATAGGATTAGGCGCTGCGTATGAATAATACCTACACCGAGGGGCATTCGCGGGAATATACATTAAATGAGAAACTCACTCTACGTAAGTACCGCTTTGGAGATAGAAAAAAACGGTGAAGGCGTACATAACCTCGAGTCTATATAGTACCTACTTACATCCATAGTCGAATACTTGGTGAATTCAAATGTTATTAGACTTCTAGGTTATTTTAAGGTAAGTTGATACTACAATGTAGAGGACGTAAAAGGTCAACTGGTACATTCAAATCTTTAGTGCTAGTACATAGGTACCTACACAGTACTGAGTATCTCGGGTCCCGTACTACACTATGTGTCGATTGATTGGCTAAAGCTCCACCTTCTTACTTCAATGTTGCACTGTTGACTGGTCCGTACCTACCGTACTTTGGGGGCAATCCAATCCACGCAGCAAGTCCACACGGTTCATAGCTGCCACAGCAAGCAACTACGCCCCACATTGCTACAGTACTAGGTATCCATTACGCAAAGGCAGTGGCCATCAGCCGCGAACTTCCAAACACCTCTAAGCTACTAAACTAGACCTAATTTTTCTTCCTTTCAACAATCCTCAACTCCGCCGAATTTGTATTCTTTCGACGATCAAGATAAGTAAATAGCCAAGCATCGAAGCAGGGCTATCCCACTTCTTCTCGATTGTCATCACGAATCAACACACGCCTTTCTTGAACCTGGAAATACCTTGCGGTACAGCGGCCTGCACCCGCCTGAACCGACCCTCATTCCAGCTTCCTGACAGCCGTGCCGGAATTCCTACATACTTCACCACCCCATCACCACCGGCCCCTCATCCGCGCACCGCCCGTCTTACTGCGGCCTATAATTTTTCTGCATTTTTATTTTCGACGCGCGGGGTATCCCTTTGACCTACGCACCTCGACTTGGCAAAGTCATCAGAGCGTTCCCGCAGACGAATTTCTTCAGATACCCGCAAGGCTGACTTTCGGAGACGAGGCTTAATCACAAACTCAACGATCTTGCAGCATTCTATTTCATCACCCCACCTTGTGTACCAAAGGGTAATTCGAGCCAATATACAGGAGGAGCCGTCCAAGTTGTTTTGGACGCTCCCGCGCGGCGAGTCAAATTGTCGTCACCGGTTACCTGGAATTTGGTAGTGGAGGGGGAGCTGACACATTCTTTGCGGCTCTGCCGCCCCGGCCTTCACCATGGGAATGATAACGAAGACCATCCAGCCTAAGCACAAGGAGACTCTGGTACGTCCCTTATGCCACGTCTACTTAGAAACCTACCTTGCTAACCTATTTGTTTATAGTCTCCGTGGCTCCAGGAGTTCGTTGATAAAGCGACCTCCGTACCCTTACCTCTCCTACCCGACATTCTTGCCACATTCCCCTCACGATGGCCTTTTCCGAGAGGCGACCTGTATCATTGGATACCACTACTGAATCGATTCGACAACCTTCTGGAGTCGTTTTGTTCTACTTACAAGCTGAACGAGGGCCCCCAGACTAGAGATTTCGGCTGTGAAGTTCTGCTTGGATCCGGCTCTCCTGATGACGATGGAGAGAAACCGATCGATTTACAGAAGCTCGCGGAGCTAGGGTATAGCAAGGATGGCGATGTCCGCCTCATCGTAGCGATTCTGAAGTTCACCCAGATGCTCCTAGATCATTGTGGGAACCGTAGCATATATGCTAGTAGCTCACACCTGAACGACCTTCTGAACAGTACAGATTTCGCCATCGTCTGTGCTACTCTACGTGTCGGTGTGGAACTGGCCCAGCGCTATCAGGCTTCCGTAAAACGCATCCACGGGATGACCACACGACAAGTGCACACTACCCTTCTCTCAAATCATTACAACATCGATCTCGATCGTGTGCAGCTACTCGCTCAACCTTTCGTAAAGACGCCACTTTCTAAGTCTTCCGAACCATCACTTCTCGCCACCCCGAGCTCCGCTACTAAGAGTAAAGAGAAGAACCACGGTGGAAGCCCGAAGAATGTGGCTACTATGTATGCGAATGACCTGTGCGCCCTCGCTAAAGAAGATCCTGCCGACATCTCGGGCTCGCAAACACGTTGGAGCGGTTGGGGTGATGTGAAGTTGACGTATTATCCCACTTCGGATAGCTCACAGGGACCTACGCAACAGTCTTTACCTGATCGAGGTACGACCTCGAACATACCCGCAACTCCGACACCATTGAGACGGAGTAGTACGTCTGCTGCTACGCAAGCTACTCCTCGGACGAGCCGCCAGGGTGCATCGGAAGATACCCCAGTGTCTGCCTCCCGGTCTCCGGCGGTTGGACGGGATGAAAGCAGCCCTCCCGGTCAGAAGTCTCTGGAGGTCTCCCACGCCTCGGTGTCGTCTGCCTCGATTTATCAGCTTCTCGCCAAAGCGCCGGCGGATCTTCCAAAAGAGACCAAGTACGAGTTTCTGAACCGACTTCGTGTCGCTAAGGCCCTCACAGGGACCGTTGAGTCTCGGCGGCTGGCGTTGAAGGCGCGTCTGCTGGCTATCCAAAACCTGGCCTATATTCACATAGAGCCAACCTTCATCGAGAAGGTCCTTAGGCAGGATAACGATGAGCCTAGACGCTTCCAGCTCGTATATCAACTTGCAGAACTGATTCACCCTGCTGCTGACGGTGCTACGGTAGTACCTATTGATTTGCAGTCGATTGCATTATCGCTGCTAGAGGCTATTTCGGGATTTCATCACAAGCTACCCGACATATTCTCGGCGCTGAACGCGACTGTAAATCATGGTGTGTTGCTTTACGTCATTAGGAAGGCCGTTGCCGAGATGAAACAGGACGATTCTGGGGAGCAGTGGAGCGAAGAAGACGAATGGCGTGACAACCTTTTCTCCCTCACGCTTCACATCACAATGGCTATGGCCAATAATACGTCACGTAGCATGCCGGAAATTATCTCGGCCGGTTTGTTGGACGTCATGGTTGAAGTCCTCAACATTAGGTCTAACATAGCCGAGCGCACTCACGGTACTTTGGTAGGATTCCTAGACAGCCTCGTTTATAACGTGCAGAATTCCTTCCAGATATTGATAAATGCCGACGGCCTTGAGGCTATCACCAACTTAGTTACCCATGAAGTTGACCTGGCTGGGAAGCTCATTGCGGAAGGCAAAGGAACTCCCGCTACGCATCGTTCACAGGTTGTTGATTACGAAATTCCTTTCTATCAGCAACAGAACCTCAAGTTCCTCTTGAAGTTCATTCACCATTTAATGACCAATGCATTTTCTTTTGGTGGCAACACTGATCGATTACTGAGGAACCTCGTCGATAAGTCCGCACTACTTCGCAGTATACGCGAGATCATTGAAAATATGACCAAGTTCGGCTCCCTGGTTTGGACCAATGCTGTTGTTATTCTAAGTGATTTCCTCAACAATGATCCTACTAGCTTTGCGGCTATCTCTGAGGCTGGGCTGGTTCAGAGTTACCTGCAAGCTTTGACAGGTCGTCCAGTGCCTACAGGACAGATGAGTGGAACGGATGCGGCTCAAGGTAACAACCGAGACGATAGCCCTGACTCGGCTTCGGATGCCCCTACATCGGATCTCCTCGAGCCTGACAATCGCTCTCACCCTCCGTCTAAGGAGGAATTAGATGCGCCCCGAGATGGTCCGCTTGCTCGTGGCATCTTGCCTAACTCGGAGCCCATTACTATTGTGCCAACAGTCCTGAACGCGATATCTCTTAACAACCTTGGAATGAAGATGGTCGTTGCGTCCCGTGCATTTGATAGCTACTTCGAGATATTCGAGAGTCCTGAACACGTCCGAGTAATGTCATCAGATGAGAATGTGGCTCAAAACGTGGGAGGTAATTTCGATGAACTTGCTCGTCATCACCCCTCTCTTAGGCCAGCCATTGCAAATGCCGTACTGGATATGATCGCTCGAGTTACTCACCTCGCGCAGGTCACGGCTACGGATGCCCAGTGGGGAGCAAAGTTGCTCGTAAAAGATTCAGCGGGTCGAGAGGTGGTTGCCAACGAGGAGTTACTGAGC